CTCCGTGGCTTTTAGGCGTTGTAGTATTGCCCTTGGGCCCTCGGCTCGTATGGGTAGTCTTACAGGTATGGGGTCACGCACCCCCCAACCATGTAACACACACACACATATGCACTGGGGCAAAGCAGACCGAAGTATGTAGTGAGGCGTATTTCCCTCTTTTGAGATGCTCGTTGCAATGCGAAGGAAAGCGTGATTATAACACATGTTGAGCACTGCCGTGTGGCAGCTGCTGGCTGCTGGTGCCGCCATGCGGGGCTGTGAGAAGAGGACAGTGTAAGAGCGCGCTTGTGATCAATGTTGTGTAAGCCATGGCGCCGGATTTCGCTCGCCGAATGTAGCGGTGTCGCCGGTGACTCTTGCTAATTCTAGACCACGGGGACTAGTATTACTTGCCGCGTGACTGTGCTGGTGGTCATGATGATGTGCCCTTGCCTGGCCCATGATGATGTGCCCTGACTGGCGGGCGGCGGCCCCACCTGGATCGTCTCGCCGTGTTGTGGGAGGAAACGTCGCGCTACGGCGCCCAGGCCTTGTGTACCGTGAAGTCGTCGCAAATATTGCAATGTACACTGTAACAGGAAATGTGTTCAGCCGCATCGCGCTGCCGGGATGATGCCGTCAGTGTGCGCTTTAAATTGTTTGCTGCTGCTGCTCCTGATGATTAGCAGTTACTAGTCTGATATGCCGGCATTATCCGCCTGGTCTCAACTGGTTTGTGAAGTAAACGATTTTACGGTAACGGATCCTATATAAGTCCCGGTGCTGCTTTGTCGACGTTGCAGGACGGTCATGGTGGGCGCGGGCATCAAGGAGCGTGGTGGCACGGCGCTGGTCTATAAGTCTCCCACACTTCGAGGAGGTGGGTCGGTGGGTCGGCAGTTTTAGTGCTTGCCGGCATTAGTTGGCCGACCGGCGGGCTACTGCTGGAACCGCTCTAGGCTGGAATGATGTGCCGCCCAAGTCCCGACGTGCCAACGGCAAGGTACAGGCGTTGCCTTCAACTATACGCTGGTAGGGCACAAACAGCAGCTCACTCACGCCGGTTTGGGGTTTCCGAGGGGATACGGAAGTAACGGAAGTAACGAAAGTAACGGACTGAAAACCCTCCCGGCTCCCCCCGCGCTTATTTTAGTCTTGGCGGCTAGGTAGGTAGTTTTTCCGACTTCTTCTTCACTACGTCATCCCGAGGTCGCCGCACTTCCAAGAACGCCTTTTGTTCAGTTCTACGTCTGGTACATTCTTGCCGTGGCAGCAGCTTCACTCGTTCGTGGTTCGTCTCCCCCCGCCCCGCACTCACACGGCTCCTTTCGGCTGGTTCTTTTCCCCCGTTTTCCCCACCCCCCCGTCTCAGGGTCTTGGAGCTATGCTGGAGAGCTGTGCAGGGGCGGTGGCGACACCGGAGTCATCTGGGAGTGTCCCGTCATGATGCGGCTGCCTCGCCTACCCCGGCCACCGCAGCCTCAGCCGCATCGCAATGCGCCTTTTGCTTTGCGCGCGCAGCATCAGCAGCAGCAGGTGCAGTCGCCGCTGCCAGTGGATGTTTCCACTACCCCCGGCGGCGGCGGCGGCACCGTATTGCCCGCCTTCACCAGCCCTACAAGACCCAACAAAACCGACGGCGCTGCCGCGCCGCCGCCGCGCAACCTCATCGTACTGCCGCCGCCGGCACCGGCATCGCCGCGACCGCTGATCAAAGCGCAACCCGCGTCAGCGGCGGAGGCGGAGGTTCTGCCGTACGGTATGGTAACGGTGGATCGCCTGGGGGCGGGAGCGGGCCCCGCAGCCGCGATCGCTCTGCTGTCACCGCGGAGGCCGACACTGGAGGCGGCGCTGCAGCAGGCGCCCTTGAGCCCCCTCCGGTCGCCGATCGGCTGGAATTTGCCGCCGCTGGCGGCACTGCCCCACGCGCCCTCGCCGCCGGTAGGTGTCCTGTATGTCTGTATGTATGTACCCATCAGGTGGTCATGGGGAGAGAGATGTTGCTGAAAGATGTCGCTCGCTGGAAGTTGCTAGGTAGCGCAAAAGCTTTTGGGCTGCAGCTCCTGTTGCTGAGGGCTCAGAGCCTTTATCTTTGTCAGTGTGCTGTGGCTGTGGCTGTGGCTGTGGCTGTGGCTGTGGCTGTGGCTGTGGCTGTGGCTGTGGCTGTGGCTGTGGCTGTGGCTGTGGCTGTGGCTGTGGCTGTGGCTGTGGCTGTGGCTGTGGCTGTGGCTGTGGCTGTGGCTGTGGCTGTGGCTGTGGCTGTGGCTGTGGCTGTGGCTGTGGCTGTGGCTGTGGCTGTGGCTGTGGCTGTGGCTGTGGCTGTGGCTGTGGCTGTGGCTGTGGCTGTGGCTGTGGCTGTGGCTGTGGCTGTGGCTGTGGCTGTGGCTGTGGCTGTGGCTGTGGCTGTGGCTGTGGCTGTGGCTGTGGCTGTGGCTGTGGCTGTGGCTGTGGCTGTGGCTGTGGCTGTGGCTGTGGCTGTGGCTGTGGCTGTGGCTGTGGCTGTGGCTGTGGCTGCGGCCACCGCAAGTGCAATGTACGGATGTCGAGCGGTGTGTCGAGACGGGAAGGACGTCGTCTCTCCGTATAAATTGCGCGTTGTGTGCAGTAGCGCGTGATGACGTGCGGATGTATCTTCACGAAAGAGAAGGTGGAGGGGAGGAGGAGGGGAGGAGGGGAGGAGGGGAGGGGGAGGAGGTTTCCTGGTCGGCATCCATATCGTGTACCTGGGGGGGCAGGGTCCTTCACCGGGGTATTCAAGAATTTCGGTTGTGCCCGAAACCCTCCTGAGCAGCCTATCGGGGCTCTCCCCAAAAGCTTCCTTCCTTGTCAGCACGACATTTCCGTCGGGCACCCCTCGTAAGCGGTTTTCGGGTAGAATTAAGCTGGAGTCTATCGCAAAATGCTAGATCGGCTGATTTAACTGGTGTTTGAATTTTTTGGGGGAACGCGGGGCCTGGGAGCAATCGTTCAGGCAAGGATGTTACCCGAAAACGAGGAACATTTATGCGATACAGTTCACGTACTCGTTGGGCAGGTTAACGCTAGGCTTGAGCCTCAGTGCGCATTTGTACTTGTTGTTTGACTGGCGACCAAGCGGGCCTTACACTGCAAGACTCGGCTCGAAACCACGCCCGAAACCACGCCCGCGCGCTCGAAACCCACGTACATTTTGACGCAAAAAATATTTTTTCAAGTCTTCCCAAAACGCCCTCGATTGGCTCTGGTGGGGCCCCCGAAGCCGCGCTTCGCTCGGACCAAGATCCTTTCGATCGCTCCCGGATGCCTCAATTTTTTCCTTCCGGGCAAAACGGAAAGTTCTCCAAAATGCTCGGGCCGTAATTGGGGTGAAAAAACCCTCCAGTGGCGGGTTCCTTTGGCGCTATCGCTCGACTCCCGAGCATGTGTAGCGCCCCTCCTCAGTCGCCCTTGCGACCCTCCGCTCTCCCCGTGTCTCTCAGGCGCCCCGACCGCCCTCCGCACGCACACCTGCACCGAACAGCCTCGCCTCACCCAACCCCGCCGGACCCACACCGACATCCACACCGGCGACCACGCCCACCTCGAGCCGCAACAGGAGCCCCTCCGGCCGCCCCGGGACGGGGCCCCTCGGAAGTCATGGATGTCACGAGGGCCGCCGCACCCCACCAGCTTCACCACGCCTGCTGCAGCTGCTTCCCGGCACCTCAGCCGCCTCCGCTGCCTGCAACGGCGCTGTCATGACCCACAGGTCACCCCTGAGCCCACGCCCCGGGCCGCCCCGAAATTCCACCGGGTCAATCTCGGCGCTGCTGCCCACGACCAGCCCCGTACGTGCGACACAGGGCCCCCGTGTCGCCACCCTAGTGCCGCCCAATCCCCCGCGGGTTAAGGCCTCGACGGCTGCCGCCACGGCCACCGCCGCCGCCGCCGCAGCCCCTAGGGACGCAGCGGCATCCTTTTCCTGGCAGCGCTACCAGACCTTTTTCTGCATCTGTCCCGACGACTGTAACAGCATGGCTGTGTATTACCTGGGGTCGTACGACGCGGGTGGCTCAGCTTTCAACCTGGATGAGGCGCTGGGTCCCTTCCCTTTGGACCTGGGGGACATCTTCTATGCGCCAAACATGCTGAGGGACGCGGAGGTGGGGTGTTGTGTGTGTGTGCATGTGTGTGCGAGTGTGTGTGCGTGTGCATCTGTGTCATATCCTTTCGGAGGGATTACATGAAGCGTGTTTTATAGTTGGTTACCGTTACCAGCAGGAGCATTCAACTGAAATAGCAACTCCTAACGGACGCCAGTACGGGATTTTGACCCGCGTGTAAAATGTGAAGAGAGCGGAAAAATAGGGTTCCTGTGTTCTAACGGATGGGTGAGTGGGAATGTGGGAATGTGGGTGGGTGGGTGGGTGGGTGGGGTTCTTATTGAGGTGGTACAGACATGCAGCGTTGTTTCCTTTCCTCCCTCCCTTTCCCCCCCCGCTCGCGCAGGGCCGTGCGGTGCTGTGGGGCTGGCTGCAGGAGAAGCCCCGCAAGGTTGGCACGTACGACTACGCGGGGTGCTTGTCCATGCCACGACTGGTGCACCTGGAGGCGAGTGTCGGGACCGGGGGGCTCCTTCTTGGGTGCTGGCGGGGAGAGGGTTGAGGCAGGGAAACATAGGGAGCATTATTAAAAAGGGGCGGGAGGCGCTGGGAGGGTCGCTTGCTTTCAGCTTTTGTATTCCAAGGCTTCCGAGGGGGGCTGCCACTGGGCTTCTGCGCCACTGCTTCATGTCACGTGGCAGTGCCATTATTGCTTTGGATAACAAGTCGGTTATCGATTAGTAAAACTCACGGCAGGGGAGTCGCGCCAGAGATTGGCTTCCCATTCCAAGCATATCTTCAATTTCGTGGTTTGAAGGATCCGGTATTCTGAAGGATGTTGTACGAAGAGAGGCAAGCAATCTGGGGACGGAAAGCACCCTCCTTTAGCCGAGCAGCTGGCGGCTCACGACGGCGTGGATTTTGTTTGTCGTATACCGCTCCTTGACGGGAAATGCAGGTGGACGAGCAGCCGGCCAGAAACGGCAACGAAGGTGACAATGTACGGCCGGCCGTACATCTGGTGCAGCAGCCGCCGGCAGACATTTCCAAGCTTCGGGTAAGGCCCTCATGTACCACCACGAGATCACCACCCTGATTCACACCATTCATCAGCACCTGCCGTGAGTTTTAATTGGAAAACGTGGGGACCACATTTCCTCCTTTCTTCCCGTTTCCATCCCCTCACAACGCTTACCCCCCAAGTCGCCCCACCCTGTGGGTCGCGTCGAGCGTGCTCGCGGTGCGCCCGCCTGCCGTCGTCATTCCCTGCCGCCGACAGAACCACTCTGGACCACTCCCCCTTCCACCACAGCCACAGCCACAGCCACAGCCACAGCCACAGCCACAGCCACAGCCACAGCCACAGCCACAGCCACAGCCACAGCCACAGCCACAGCCACAGCCACAGCCACAGCCACAGCCACAGCCACAGCCACAGCCACAGCCACAGCCACAGCCACAGCCACAGCCACAGCCACAGCCACAGCCACAGCCACAGCTCACAGCCACAGCCACAGCCACAGCCACAGCCACAGCCACAGCCACAGCCACAGCCACAGCCACAGCCACAGCCACAGCCACAGCCACAGCCACAGCCACAGCCACAGCCACATCTCGCCAATTGCTGCTGCGCATAGTGAACTTACCACCCGGCTGAAGACCCATTTCAATATGGCCACTACGCACAGCCACATAATCGCAGCTGCCGCTTTTGGAATGCCTGGCTTTTTTAAGTGCCTGTTCGCGCACCAAACCACGACGACACAGGTTCCAGGCAGCGCGTGGCAGGGGGAGGGATTGCTGCTGGAGCCCGGGTCCACGTTGCCTATCCCACTGGCTTCTGGAGACCACTTCGAGCTGGAGCTGACAATGGTGCCGCTGCCGCAGCCGTTGGAGCCGCTGCGGGAGGGTGACGACAGCGGCGGAGCTAATGCCACCGGCTCCCAGGCCGACAGCCCGCAGTCCGCGGCAGGCCCGAGTCCCGGTCCCAGTCCGCGTCGCAGTCCGGTGGCACAGGTGGCGGCTGCGGCAGTCACGGGCGATTGGCGGCGTGGTGGCGGCGGCGGCGGCGGCGGCGGCGGCGGTGTCTGCCGATGCAGCGGTGTGCTGCTGCACAACTGGCGCAGCGGCGCGGAGGGCTCGGCCGCTCTGCTGTACCACTGGGATAGCGGCGTGCTGGAGGTAAGGGACCTATGTGTAGAGGGTGGGGGGGAGTGGAAGGGCGTTGCCTGCTCAATGCCGTCTCGGTGCGACCAACCCACCCTGCAGTACTACCGAAGCACACATTGCATGCCGGCGCGAGCCGCAGCCGCAGTCACTCACCAATAGCTTGTATGTATGGCATGCATACGTGCATGCCTACATGCATGCCTACATGCATACCCCTCCTGTGATTGATACCTCCCCTGGACTAGCCCAGGGAGGGAGTGGCATTGGTGGGTAGTGGTCTCGGGAGGCTGTTTGGCGTCTTGTGGTGTGAGCTTTTTGTGCTCCCTTCTGTTTAAGGTTTCTGGAGCTTGGAGACCTCCCCAGCCCGGGATGACTCGGGCTCCGGTCGCCCTGGTCCTGAACGCGTGCTCTTTGAGCTTATATTCTGTAGTTTCTGCCCGCAGAAAAAACTTCTCGGGTGCGACTTCGTTTTTGTTAGGTGACCAGCGGGCCTAGAACCCGTTCAACCGTTGCGCTACCCCGCTACCCCGCGATGGGGAACGCTGCTTACTGCCGGCCGTCGTACTGCACCCAGTCTGACCGGGGAGCGGAGTGCACAAGACTAACCAGCCGTGTGCGTCTGGGGTCCCCTGTGTTTCGGCCCTGGGCCCCCGGCTTTTAAGGCCGCAACGACATGCATACACACACAATCATCGCCATCTCCGCCACCAAGGAACACCAGCTCACGGCCATCTGACCAAACCCCAACGGCCAACCGCCAACGGCCAGGTGGTGTTTGAGGCTATGGACCCGGCCACGCTTACCTTCAGCTTGGCGGCCCCAGGGGTGCGGCGAGTCGGCGGCCGGCTGCAGCGGCCGCCTGCCCCGGGCAGCCCGTTGTCACTTCGCGTGTTCCTGGACTACTCCTGCCTCGAGGTGTTCACGGGAGAAGGCGAGGTGCTCACGGCGCGAGTCTACCGCGGCAGTGCGCCCACCAACCCCGCGCAACACCACCACCAACACCTCCGCCAGCACCAGCAGCAGTACCCGTATGCGCGGTCGTCACCTGGGGGCGCCGGGAGCGTGGGAGGCGACATGGCGGCTTTGGGCGTGGAGCTCGTGTCGTTTGGGTGCAGTACGGAGGTCCCCCGTGTCGGGGCGTACGAGATGGCGGCCATATGGGTGGAGGATGTATAGTATGTGTCTGTAATTTGACTGGGCTGCGAGAAAGGTGTGCTGCGGTTGATTGTGCGGGTGTGAGTGGGTGTGAGTGGGTGTGAGTGGGTGGGTGTAAAACGCAGTTTAGGATCTGCGGGTCTCTCAGGAGGTCAAGCTTAGTTATAGCACAGAAGATAATTTTGAAAGGGTTTCGGGAGCAGCTATCAGGGGGCCGCGGGGGGCAGATGGGGCACATACTCCGGTGGCGGGGAATGGAGGATAAAAGCCCACATGGGCTAGTGTGCATATAGACGCCCTGTGCAGCCGAGATTTTGCAAGCTGTGCATGCCCTTGGAACGAGCACGACGACGACCGGACGGAGGGTTATGCAACGAAGCATTATTTGGTCCCAGGATAGATTGGTGGACTGCTGTTGTATGTGGCGGTGTACATTATAAACATGCATGTGTGGCCCTTTTGACGATTGGGGGAAGGCGTCGTAAACTTCAGTCGTGTTGTGCGCACTAGTTTCAAAATTCAAAAGTTTGAAAATGAGTGGTCTTTTACGGCTTTAGGCAAAAGCGGTTGGCTGTGTGGGTTTATTAATTTCAGGTTGCGGTACTCCCTCCTTGCATTGCGATACTGGCTCCCATCACGGGATATGATATAGCGAGCGCGAACGCGGTCAGCGAGGGTCAGCTTTGGAGGGGGGTAAATGCGGCGAACAGGACGTGGGAAGGGAAGAAGACTTAGGATCTTTGGGAAGGAGCCGCACCAGGCATATGCGGCTACTGTTCAAACATAAAAATGAGATATTGAGCGGGATGTACCACACACTCCCAACCCCTTTGCACTCTATGCTATGCCACGCCGTACTGTTCCAGCACCTTCACGGATTTTTTATGCATATCCGGCGCAGCGCGATTGTCTTTGCCACTGACGCTACAGCTGCAGCCTTGATGCCCTGATGCCCTGATGCTACCTCTTCGCTCAGGCAAAGCGTCGAGGAGCGTTTGTCTGTAGCGGTAGACCCGTTGATCGATTCTTGCTGGCTGTGGTAGGTAGCTTCCTTGCCCAGATTTCTGGCAGCATCTGCTGGACTACACGCTGAAGCCTGGTGGACCTTTTTCATTAAAAAAGCGTAAATTGATATCTTGTGCGTCAGAGCATGGCAACTACAGGGATGGTCTGGTTGGCAAATGCGCTCATAAACGTATGAATGCGTGTTCTGTACGACACCTGAGCCTCGAGAATGCGTTCGAGAATGTGTGCAGGTGTTCATGTGTTTATGTATGTATGTGTGGGTCCATATACTCCAGAGCTGTATCTCTGGGCATATGCATTAACAGAGGATAGGCATATTGCATGGACGATGCCCGAGGGGGGGAACATACGTATGCCCTCGGCTGATATGCTTCTAGGAAATCGGCAGCGCACGTTGTCTATAGCCGTTGTAATCGCCGAGAAATGCCCTATGTTAATCCCCCATCTTCCTCCACAGGACTGCCCGAGTGCGCTCCCAGGGACTAAATACCGTTAGCAGCGCCGTACATTGTTGTACACGGGGGCAAACGAACAACCTTGTAATTAGAGACCTTCGTAGGGAAGGGACGCGGCAGCTGCAGGCAGCACGCCGCATGAGCTCACGTTAGACTGCGCGTACGTGCGTACGTAGGTCGGTCAGCAGTCTAGCGACACATGAAAGCGAGGGTACGACATGGTACGGCGACGCAATGGGTAGGCCCGTTGCTCGTAACGTAATCCTCCGTGGTCCGTTGCATCTTCGGTGAGTGACGAAACTCCTGAAGGTGTGCAACACACATACACACATACACACATACACACATACACACATACACACATACACACATACACACATACACACATACACACATACACACATACACACATACACACATACACACATACACACATACACACATACACACATACACACATACACACATACACACATACACACATACACACATACACACATACACACATACACACATACACACATACACACATACACACATACACACATACACACATACACACATACACACATACACACATACACACATACACACATACACACATACACACATACACACATACACACATACACACATACACACATACACACATACACACATACACACATACACACATACACACATACACACATACACACATACACACATACACACATACACACATACACACATACACACATACACACATACACACATACACACATACACACATACACACATACACACATACACACATACACACATACACACATACACACATACACACATACACACATACACACATACACACATACACACATACACACATACACACATACACACATACACACATACACATATTTGGCTCGGGTTCGTCATCCCTCGTCCCTTTCGTCTGATTCCTCCCTTCCCTCTTACCCCAGGTCGACCTGGGCGGTGTGTTTGGGAGCGCAGCTGGGTACGGCTTGGCTCCGACCTTCCCGAAGGCGACCCTCCTAAGCACCGCGAGAGCGGAATGCAGGAGTGGAATGGGATTAAACAGATAGCAGTAGTGACATCGCGAAGTGCTCGCGTGGTGTAGTGGTTAGCACTGTGGACTCTGAATCCACCGACCTGAGTTCAAATCTCAGCGTGAGCTTTTTGTTGGCTCCTTAAGGCTACCGACGTACAGACTGACCTTGTGCGGAGCGTTGTAGATATTCTTGAGGCTGACGAACGATCGAAAAATTTGCCATTACTGCCGTACCTCTGACATATCTGACACGATAAGGGGCTTATGTATCTCCTGACTGCTGGGGTCCTGACTGCCAGCAAGCATTCGATACACTTCAGCATGTTGTCTCTGAAGACATCATCCTGCATTTCCCTGACTACTCCCAATCTTTTCGTGCGGAGGTCGTAACTGATGCGTCCTTGCATGGTACGGGAGCTGTACTTCTGCGAAACGGGAGACCAAATGCTTTTACCAGTAAGAAGTTCTTGGGGCCGAAACCCGTTACACCCCTGGAGGACAAGAACTTCTTGCTGTACTGAACACGCTTAAGGAGTGGCGGTGTCATCTGGAGGGCCGACCCTTCACCCTTAAAACAAACCCCTTACGTTCCTGCAAGGTGTGCCTACCCTAAACCGTCGACAAGCCCGGTGGATGGAGTGTCTTGCCCGGTGGCCGCACCTGCACCCGGTTTGACCACACCTGCAAGGCATCTTTAACACTGCAGACGCCTTAAGTCGGCACCCTTGTCCACATGCAGCCATCCTGCCTGTCGTTACACGCAACCGTGCTGCGGCATCCTATCTGCCCCCTGAATTTGTGCAGCGATTTTAAACTGCCTATCCACGGATCTCTGGTTTCCTGACAAACACAATACTGGCCATTTAACCGGTAAAAGTGGCCGTTGGATCCGCACTGAGGGTACTTTTCGGCAGGTTGTCGTTCCGAATGATGACTTGCTGCGTCGTGATCTCCTGTCACGTTTTCATGACGACCCGCTGGCTGGGCACCCTGGCTGCACCCGTCTGGTCGAGGTTCTCCGTCGTCAATTCTGGTGGCCTCGGATGGATACAGACGCCGAGGACTATGTCCAGAACTGTGAGCTGTCCCAACGCAATAAAGTCCTTCCTGGTAAGCCCCACGGCCTTCTGTGTCCTTGTCTGTGCTGGCCGCCCCTTGAGAAAGTGTTACCATGGACTTTGTTGTAGTTCTGCCCAAACTGAGGGGGAATTCGATGCCGTTTTGGTCATGGTAGACCGACTCACGAAATTGGTGCACCTGGCACCCACGGCATCATCCTGCACAGCTGAGCAAACTGCACGTCTGTTCTTTGACAACATAGTGCGTTTGCATGGTGTCCCCAAGAACGTTGTGACCGACCGCGGATCGCAATTTGCCAGCAGATTTTGGGGCACCCTGGGTGGTCTGCTAGGCATGCGTGTTAACCTGAGCACCACCTATCACCCACAGACCGATGGACAGACAGAACGTACGAATCGCACTCTTGGCGATATGTTGCGCAATTATGCCGGTCTACACCTTCTGTCTGGGACACATACGTAACTGCGGCTGAATTAATTGCGAGTAATAATATTGCGAATTGCGCGACCGGCAACAGCACGTTTTTCCTGAAATACGGATACAATCCTGCCTTCCCTATTTGGCGGGAGTTGGACGTCAACTTGCCTTGTGTGTCCCGACTGACTGACGCTAAACCTTGCCTTGAAGCTGCACAGCAACATACGGCGGACTACTCTAACAAATCCCGACGTGCCATCACCTTCTCGCAGGGCCAGTTGGTGATGCTGAGCACTAAGAACCTGCGGTCCTTAGCGGATGTTCCACGTGAACTGTTACCTCGCTGGGTGGGGCCATTCCCGGTTGGGTCTACTGCAGTCGAGCTGCAACTACCACCTGACATGCGCATCCACCCACGTTCCATGTCTCTCTCGTCCGACCTTTCTGTACTACCGACTCTGCTGATGCGTTTCAGCCAATACCTGCTCCTACGGTCACGCATCCAAGACCCGATACTTGGCTCTTAGGCAAGCTGACGTTTTACGCGTTGAATGGATACTGGATTATCGTTCCCGAAAAAAAGGCAGAAACTGCCACTGAAAGCGCACAAGTATCTTGCCAAATGGGCAGTGTACTCGGTTGAGCACAACAATTTGTTGGGAATCAGAATCAAACTTTACCCGACCTAAAACCTCTGCTGGAAGAAGTACGGCAACGAGCACGGCGAGGTTAGAGGTAAGTGTTTAACTCCCGCACCTTTTTGGGCCCGATTCTGCTCTGTTAGTTTCTTACCATGCATCGAGGACGCTGCATCTAGAGGGGGGATAGTTGTTAGATTTACTATTACAAGTTACAAGTTCCGCACACAAGTGCGAGTGTGTCCGTAAAAGCCGGGGGGGCCATGGACGTTGTATTGGTATTGATGCGAATACGCGGGAGGTCATCATCATTCTCCCTCGTCCGCTTCAGGGAAAAGCGCCTCAGCGCCAGGGGTAGCGCCAGGGGTAGCGCCTCAAAATTTTAATTATACAAAAATTAAATTAAATTAAACGGATACATTTTCTGTCTGATTTTTCTTTTTTCGCTTGGCGCGGTTGATGGACAAGTTCACTGCAACTAACCGATAACCGAATTGCCTATTTTGCCGCCTTTCTGTCAGATCTACAACTCCGACCTCTGGGTCCGACGGCGAGCGAGACGCTGTCATGGATACCTGCAAGTAAACGCTGCCTCAGGCGGAAGTCCATACTTGCAGAAGTATGGGCGGGGGTCATAGCACAGGCTACGACTGGGACGTGGGTCCCTTGGAGCTTACCAGGTTTAAAGTGGTGGCCTCATGCATGCAAAGCACGCACATCACCACTGAGCTAAAGACCCTCTCCACAATTTCTCGATGTTGACATGTTAAGATGGGCCGTGCAGGATGCGCCGCTGTGTTGCCTAGCCAGGGACTGGGAGAGCGCCCCAGCTGGTGTGAGTGAGGGAGTGAGGTGCGGACGGAGGAACAGATGGACATAGCCATGCGCCCGCCCTTGCGCTGTGTTTCAGCCCAGTCAGGGCCCCCGGTGCTTGTCCTTTCTCGGGACGAGCCGCCCACAGTGTAACACCGCATCAGCGCCACCACCACCAACACACCAATAACTCCATACATGAACTGCCTATGGCCAACCTCGCCAACTGCGGCAAACATGGAAATAACACGCAAAACAAGATATGATTAAGATAGACCAAAATGGCGGAAATGGACAGGTGCGGACCTCCACGCCAAAACAGCGTTCAAATGGATGGGTGACAGCCCGAGCAGCTCGCCCACAACCAAGTGGAGCAAAATATGTGGATACCAATGAAATAATGAGCATAATTCCAGAGGGAACCCCGCTGTATCTCGAACAGGACTTGGTAACCATGGAAATCCATTGGCCAGACGGTTCTGATCCCGCAGACATACAATCCCAGCTGCATGGACCGATTGGCAAGGCCCTTGTCGACAAATTACAGGCAGCAATACTGCCCATGGAGGCTGGGGCTGGGCTGGGCCGCTCAGGCCGCGAATCAGCAAATACCTGCAACGGGCACTACCCAGCAGCGTGAAGTTTCAAGAAATTGCATCTTGGTTGGAAAGGTGGACTGTCAACGCTTACCACCTCGCCAGCAGTCAGGCAAGGATTTCTTCAGCTGGGGCCAGTCCAATTCCTCCCTAGCAGCCCACCAGTGTAACTGGAGCTACCCATTACCAACTTATAAAAGGAGGAACACCCCCACTGGGAGATCAAGGGGGTCCCTGTCGGCCTGGACCCCCGAGCCATCCCTGGGTTCCTCACGTTTTGCTACTCCACTCCGTGGCACATGTGGGATGGCTTTTGACGGACTTCCAGTAGCTAGCTCCCACCCTGATGGCGGACACCTGGCGGATCAAGACAGTGCAGGGCACCCCTGGTCTATCACCATGCCCTGATCACCTCCTAAGCATGGCAGCCTTCAATATGCCGGATT